TAAAGATGTAAACCATCCTTTTGACAGTCTGTAGATGAAGTGTCAAGTGTATGTAAACCATCCTTTTGACAGTCTGTAGATGAAGTGTCAAGTGTATGTAAAGATGTAAACCATCCTTTTGACAGTCTGTAGATGAAGTGTCAAGTGTATGTAAAGATGTAAACCATCCTTTTGACAGTCTGTAGATGAAGTGTCAAGTGTATGTAAAGATGTAAACCATCCTTTTGACAGTCTGTAGATGAAGTGTCAAGTGTATGTAAAGATGTAAACCATCCTTTTGACAGTCTGTAGAGTAAGTGTCAAGTGTGTGTAAAGATGTAAACAATCCTTTTGACAGTCTGTAGATGAAGTGTCAAGTGTATGTAAAGATGTAAACCATTTTTTGACAGTTTGTAGATGAAGTGTCAAGTGTATGTAAAGATGAAAACCTTCCTTTTGACAGTCTGTAGATGAAGTGTCAAGTGTATGTAAAGATGTAAACCATCCTTTTGACAGTCTGTAGATGTAGTGTCAAGTGTATGTAAAGATGTAAACCATCCTTTTGACAGTCTGTAGATGAAGTGTCAAGTGTATGTAAAGATGTAAACCTTCCTTTTGACAGTCTGTAGATGAAGTGTCAAGTGTATGTAAAGATGTAAACCATCCTTTTGACAGTCTGTAGATGAAGTGTCAAGTGTATGTAAAGATGTAAACCATTTTTTTGACAGTTTGTAGATGAAGTGTCAAGTGTATGTAAAGATGTAAACCATCCTTTTGACAGTCTGTAGATGTAGTGTCAAGTGTATGTAAAGATTTAAACCATTTTTTTGACAGTCTGTAGATAAAGTGTCAAGTGTATGTAAAGATGTAAACCATCCTTTTGACAGTCTGTAGATGTAGTGTCAAGTGTATGTAAAGATGTAAACCATCCTTTTGACAGTCTGTAGATGAAGTGTCAAGTGTGTGTAAAGATGTAAACCATCCTTTTGACAGTCTGTAGATGTAGTGTCAAGTGTATGTAAAGATGTAAACCATTTTTTTGACAGTCTGTAGATAAAGTGTCAAGTGTATGTAAAGATGTAAACCATCCTTTTGACAGTCTGTAGATGAAGTGTCAAGTGTATGTAAAGATGTAAACCATCCTTTTGACAGTCTGTAGATGTAGTGTCAAGTGTATGTAAAGATGTAAACCATCCTTTTGACAGTCTGTAGATGAAGTGTCAAGTGTATGTAAAGATGTAAACCATCCTTTTGACAGTCTGTAGATGTAGTGTCAAGTGTATGTAAAGATGTAAACCATTTTTTTGACAGTCTGTAGATAAAGTGTCAAGTGTATGTAAAGATGTAAACCATCCTTTTGACAGTCTGTAGATGAAGTGTCAAGTGTATGTAAAGATGTAAACCATCCTTTTGACAGTCTGTAGATGAAGTGTCAAGTGTATGTAAAGATGTAAACCATCCTTTTGACAGTCTGTAGATGAAGTGTCAAGTGTATGTAAAGATGTAAACCATCCTTTTGACAGTCTGTAGATGAAGTGTCAAGTGTATGTAAACTATCCTTTTGACAGTCTGTAGATGAAGTGTCAAGTGTATGTAAAGATGTAAACCATCCTTTTGACAGTCTGTAGATGAAGTGTCAAGTGTATGTAAAGATGTAAACCATTTTTTTGACAGTTTGTAGATGAAGTGTCAAGTGTATGTAAAGATGTAAACCATCCTTTTGACAGTCTGTAGATGTAGTGTCAAGTGTATGTAAAGATGTAAACCATCCTTTTGACAGTCTGTAGATGAAGTGTCAAGTGTATGTAAAGATGTAAACCATCCTTTTGACAGTCTGTAGATGTAGTGTCAAGTGTATGTAAAGATGTAAACCATTTTTTTGACAGTCTGTAGATAAAGTGTCAAGTGTATGTAAAGATGTAAACCATCCTTTTGACAGTCTGTAGATGAAGTGTCAAGTGTATGTAAAGATGTAAACCATCCTTTTGACAGTCTGTAGATGAAGTGTCAAGTGTATGTAAAGATGTAAACCATCCTTTTGACAGTCTGTAGATGAAGTGTCAAGTGTATGTAAAGATGTAAACCATCCTTTTGACAGTCTGTAGATGAAGTGTCAAGTGTATGTAAACCATCCTTTTGACAGTCTGTAGATGAAGTGTCAAGTGTATGTAAAGATGTAAACCATCCTTTTGACAGTCTGTAGATGAAGTGTCAAGTGTATGTAAAGATGTAAACCATTTTTTTGACAGTTTGTAGATGAAGTGTCAAGTGTATGTAAAGATGTAAACCATCCTTTTGACAGTCTGTAGATGTAGTGTCAAGTGTATGTAAAGATTTAAACCATTTTTTTGACAGTCTGTAGATAAAGTGTCAAGTGTATGTAAAGATGTAAACCATCCTTTTGACAGTCTGTAGATGTAGTGTCAAGTGTATGTAAAGATGTAAACCATCCTTTTGACAGTCTGTAGATGAAGTGTCAAGTGTGTGTAAAGATGTAAACCATCCTTTTGACAGTCTGTAGATGTAGTGTCAAGTGTATGTAAAGATGTAAACCATTTTTTTGACAGTCTGTAGATAAAGTGTCAAGTGTATGTAAAGATGTAAACCATCCTTTTGACAGTCTGTAGATGAAGTGTCAAGTGTATGTAAAGATGTAAACCATCCTTTTGACAGTCTGTAGATGTAGTGTCAAGTGTATGTAAAGATGTAAACCTTCCTTTTGACAGTCTGTAGATGAAGTGTCAAGTGTATGTAAAGATGTAAACCATCCTTTTGACAGTCTGTAGATGTAGTGTCAAGTGTATGTAAAGATGTAAACCTTCCTTTTGACAGTCTGTAGATGAAGTGTCAAGTGTATGTAAAGATGTAAACCATCCTTTTGACAGTCTGTAGATGAAGTGTCAAGTGTATGTAAACCATCCTTTTGACAGTCTGTAGATGAAGTGTCAAGTGTATGTAAAGATGTAAACCATCCTTTTGACAGTCTGTAGATGAAGTGTCAAGTGTATGTAAAGATGTAAACCATCCTTTTGACAGTCTGTAGATGAAGTGTCAAGTGTATGTAAAGATGTAAACCATCCTTTTGACAGTCTGTAGAGTAAGTGTCAAGTGTGTGTAAAGATGTAAACAATCCTTTTGACAGTCTGTAGATGAAGTGTCAAGTGTATGTAAAGATGTAAACCATTTTTTGACAGTTTGTAGATGAAGTGTCAAGTGTATGTAAAGATGAAAACCTTCCTTTTGACAGTCTGTAGATGAAGTGTCAAGTGTATGTAAAGATGTAAACCATCCTTTTGACAGTCTGTAGATGTAGTGTCAAGTGTATGTAAAGATGTAAACCATCCTTTTGACAGTCTGTAGATGAAGTGTCAAGTGTATGTAAAGATGTAAACCTTCCTTTTGACAGTCTGTAGATGAAGTGTCAAGTGTATGTAAAGATGTAAACCATCCTTTTGACAGTCTGTAGATGAAGTGTCAAGTGTATGTAAAGATGTAAACCATTTTTTTGACAGTTTGTAGATGAAGTGTCAAGTGTATGTAAAGATGTAAACCATCCTTTTGACAGTCTGTAGATGTAGTGTCAAGTGTATGTAAAGATTTAAACCATTTTTTTGACAGTCTGTAGATAAAGTGTCAAGTGTATGTAAAGATGTAAACCATCCTTTTGACAGTCTGTAGATGTAGTGTCAAGTGTATGTAAAGATGTAAACCATCCTTTTGACAGTCTGTAGATGAAGTGTCAAGTGTATGTAAAGATGTAAACCATCCTTTTGACAGTCTGTAGATGTAGTGTCAAGTGTATGTAAAGATGTAAACCATTTTTTTGACAGTCTGTAGATAAAGTGTCAAGTGTATGTAAAGATGTAAACCATCCTTTTGACAGTCTGTAGATGAAGTGTCAAGTGTATGTAAAGATGTAAACCATCCTTTTGACAGTCTGTAGATGTAGTGTCAAGTGTATGTAAAGATGTAAACCATCCTTTTGACAGTCTGTAGATGAAGTGTCAAGTGTATGTAAAGATGTAAACCATCCTTTTGACAGTCTGTAGATGTAGTGTCAAGTGTATGTAAAGATGTAAACCATTTTTTTGACAGTCTGTAGATAAAGTGTCAAGTGTATGTAAAGATGTAAACCATCCTTTTGACAGTCTGTAGATGAAGTGTCAAGTGTATGTAAAGATGTAAACCATCCTTTTGACAGTCTGTAGATGAAGTGTCAAGTGTATGTAAAGATGTAAACCATCCTTTTGACAGTCTGTAGATGAAGTGTCAAGTGTATGTAAAGATGTAAACCATCCTTTTGACAATCTGTAGATGAAGTGTCAAGTGTATGTAAAGATGTAAACCATCCTTTTGACAGTCTGTAGATGTAGTGTCAAGTGTATGTAAAGATGTAAACCATTTTTTGACAGTCTGTAGATAAAGTGTCAAGTGTATGTAAAGATGTAAACCATCCTTTTGACAGTCTGTAGATGAAGTGTCAAGTGTATGTAAAGATGTAAACCATCCTTTTGACAGTCTGTAGATGAAGTGTCAAGTGTATGTAAAGATGTAAACCATCCTTTTGACAGTCTGTAGATGAAGTGTCAAGTGTATGTAAAGATGTAAACCATCCTTTTGACAATCTGTAGATGAAGTGTCAAGTGTATGTAAAGATGTAAACCATCCTTTTGACAGTCTGTAGATGAAGTGTTAATTGTATGGTACATGATAAGTCAAAAGCGGGGTGGGGGGGGGGAGGGATAAGTAAAAATAAAACTCATTCGAAAAACAAACTTATTTTTTTTACAGGAAACAAATATTTGTCGAATGTGTTGAAACAAATATTACAGTAAAGAAATCCTTGACTGGAGGTTCTTAGACATTATAGGGGATTATAAAAACTGTTGGTGATCAGGTAAGTCCGCATGCAATATTTGCAACTAGAGAGAATCTTTATGCTCGTCGAAACGCGGCAATCAAGCTAGAACTAGGTATTACAGGTCAAAACTTCGAGTTGGAGGTTTTAAAAAAATACCGACCTTGAAGTAGCAGTCTGACGTAATCTTCTCTACCATCAAATTGTTGGGGTTGTCTATCAAGTCATTGATCTCAGTAACACTAGCGAGCTTCTGGACATCTTTGAAAACCCCCACGGCGAAATCCTCGGCATCTTCGGTGCTGAAGACGAGCTCCGCCATACCTTCGAAATCCGGCACGGTAATCTTGAGAATACTCTCGGCATTTATTTCTAGTCTCTGCAGCACCTTGATGAGATCGCCGGCTAGGACCAACGCCGGCTTTTTGTGACAGTGACTCAAGAGGACGCCGGCAGACGGTTTGCTCTTCACGGTTTTGGAATACATAGCTTTGGTGATCCGATTGTCCCCTCAAATTATGTCATTCAAACTTGCTTCAGCTGAATTTCGTTTTATTTCGACAGATGGTAAATTTTGTATAGATCTATATATATATATACATTACTTGTTTATTTTATTTTTTTGCGGTAGGTTTTTTTTATTTAAGAATGTGTTATCTTGTTTGTTTTTATAGAGAATTGCGAAAACAGATGATAAGACAGGGTTTTAAAAAACCCGCCATTTATCTAAACAAGCTGGAAGCTTTATCAACATCCGTTTCTGATCGACTTAAAATTGTGCATTCTTTACATTGAAAAGGGAAGTCCCACTTTTTTCCACCAATAATTTCTCTAACATGAAATATTGTTATAACTAGCATTTTATTTCTTAACTTGCATTTTATTTATTTGTTATGCCTAACATTTTTCAACTTAAAATATTATTTTACCTATCATGTCTTTAACTTAAAATATTTTTACCTATCATGTCTTTAACTTGAAATAAAATCGAGCTAAGTCAAAAAATGTGTTACTGTTTGTCTTTATTTGTCTAATCTGTAATCACACTGTTGTGTGCTGACGAAGACCTTGGGTCGAAACGTCCATAGTACTTGTAACTGTCTTTAACTTGTGAGGTAACTAATACTATCTGTTTTATTACTAATTAACTTGAAATAAAGACGACATAACATTTGTTTGCGTCATACAAGATACCTTTTGTTCTATGGGGTGTTATGATCGAACAGTTGTCTGCGTCATACAACTTACATTTTGTTCTATGGGGTGTTATGATCGAACAGTTGTCTGCGTCATACAACTTACATTTTGTTCTATGGGGTGTTATGATCGAACAGTTGTTTGCGTCATACAACTTACATTTTGTTCTATGGGGTGTTATGATCGAACAGTTGTTTGCGTCATACAACTTACATTTTGTTCTATGGGGTGTTATGATCGAACAGTTGTCTGCGTCATACAACTTACATTTTGTTCTATGGGGTGTTATGATCGAACAGTTGTCTGCGTCATACAACTTACATTTTGTTCTATGGGGTGTTATGATCGAACAGTTGTTTGCGTCATACAACTTACATTTTGTTCTATGGGGTGTTATGATCGAACAGTTGTTTGCGTCATACAACTTACATTTTGTTCAATGGGGTGTTATGATCGAACAGTTGTTTGCGTCATACAACTTACATTTTGTTCTATGGGGTGTTATGATCGAACAGTTGTCTGCGTCATACAACTTACATTTTGTTCAATGGGGTGTTATGATCGAACAGTTGTTTGCGTCATACAAGATACCTTTTGTTCTATGGGGTGTTATGATCGAACAGTTGTTTGCGTCATACAAGATAAGTTTTGTTCTATGGGGTGTTATGATCGATTTTCGATGAACCCTTTAACTGAGGTGAAACACGCAACAATACTCTAAATAAACTGCGTCTATTAACCCTTTAACTGAGGTGAAACACGCAACAATACTCTAAATAAACTGCGTCTATTAACCCTTTAACTGAGGTGAAACACGCAACAATACTCTAAATAAACTGCGTCTATTAACCCTTTAACTGAGGTGAAACACGCAACAATACTCTAAATAAACTGCGTCCATTAACCCTTTACCTGAGGAAAAACACTATAATAAGAACTATGTACGATAACCCTTTAACTCAGCAAAACACGATACCAAACTTTAAATAAACTGTGTCCGTTAACCCTTTAACTGAGGAAAAGACGCAACAAAACTCTAAACTATGTTCATGATTCGTGAAATCGATTCCAATCAACAACATTAACAATTAACGATTGACAATCCCGGGGGGTGCGGATATTAAAAGATAAAAATGATTATGACGTTTTCCGGTGTAATATGAGCCAGGACAATAGTAGAGGGGGGGGGGATGGCGAGATCAAGCCGGAACATTGAAGGAACATTGAAGGAACATTGAAGGAACAATGAAGGAACATTGATGGAACATTGAAGGAACATTGAAGGAACATTGATGGAACATTGAAGGAACATTGAAGGAACATTGAAGGAATACTGAAGGAACATTGAAGGAATACTGAAGGAACATTGAAGGAAAGTTGATGAAACATTGAAGGAACATTGAATGAACATTGATGGAACATTGATGAAATACTGATGGTACATTGAAGGAACGCTTGCAGAACATGGATGAAATATTGAAGGGACATATATATATATATATATATATATATATATATATATATATATATATATATATATATATATATATATATATATATATATATATATATATATATATATATATATCGTTTATTATTACCACTCTTAAACTTAAACTGTACAGAACTGCAGGCGAGCTTTTTAATTTACAAAACGTCAATAGTTCCAATTCTTGACATAGTTAAAACGTAGGCAGCTCCAATACTTGATATTTTTAAAATGAAGCCAGCTCCAATACTTGAGATTTTTAAAACGTAGGCAGCTCCAATACTTGAGATTTTTAAAACGTAGGCAGCTCCAATACTTGAGATTTGTAAGCGCTACACACCATCCAGTCGACGCAAAACAAGAGGGTCTTGTGGCCAGTGTTTCTTCCAGACTTTTTTCTCCGGGGGGCACTTGAAATCTTCGGGGGGGCGGTAAACTTTCTTCGGGGGGGCGGACACTGTTAAAAGTATATATTTTCTATATAAATTATATACATTTCATTTCGTTCGGGGGGGCGGTAAAAAATTTTCGGGGGGGCTTCGCCCCCCCGAAGAGATGCCTGGAAGAAACTCTGCTTGTGGCGTTGCAAGCGATAAATCGATGAGGTAAGTTAATTGAGCTTTTGGGTCGAGCGGGTGATCACCGCGTCGTTTTGTGTATGAACCAGCATTCAGAGTCATCGCCCTTGGCTGTCACGTGAGCTGGATAGGATGAAATTTTTTTTTGTCTGGCCGATTTTCTTGCGGGGACGTTTTATTGATATCAGATGTAGGCTTAATAATGCAAGCCTGGGTTTTTGCGGGGGTGGGGGTGGGGGTGGGGGAGGGTGAAGGAGGGAATAAATCCCAATCAGATCATTAAGCAGCGCACTTTTAACTTTCCGCCTGATGTTGTTTGGAGCTTATATACATAGAAGGTTGTTGTGATTGAAGTCCAATACTGGATAGCAAGACTCCATGTTGTTGTTATTTTAACAATGAATGAAAAAGGGTTAAATGTATGATGCACATGATAGACATAGTGAAATTCTCTACTACACTGAGTGCTTTAGAAATGTTGTTTTTGAGGTTGTGGTACCTTTCAAATGCTGTTATTGTGGCTCTTATACTTAGATATGTAGTGATTGTCACGTGGTGTTTGGAGTGTAAAAGTGCGGCTTTCTTAAGTTACATTTAGGCTGCTAGATAAGAGTGCGCCTGTCCGCACGTCATTTTTATAAGAGTGTCAGAAAGAAACATAGGTGTGTTGTAGGCGTGTCAGAAACATTGGTGTGTTGTAGGCGTGTCAGAAACTTTGTTGTAGGCGTGTCAAAAAGAAACATAGGTGTGTTGTAGGCGTGTCAGAAACATTAGTGTGTTGTAGGCGTGTCAGAAACGTTGGTGTGCTGTAGGCGTGTCAGAAACATTGGTGTGTTGTAGGCGTGTCAGAAACGTTGGTGTGTTGTAGGCGTGTCAGAAACGTTGGTGTGTTGTAGGAGTGTCAGAAACGTTGGTGTGTTGTAGGCGTGTAAGAAACATTGGTGTGTTGTAGGCGTGTCAGAAACGTTGGTGTGTTGTAGGCGTGTCAGAAACGTTGGTGTGTTGTAGGCGTGTCAGAAACGTTGGTGTGTTGTAGGCGTGTCAGAAACGTTGGTGTGTTGTAGGCGTGTCAGAAACGTTGGTGTGTTGTAGGCGTGTCAGAAACGTTGGTGTGTTGTAGGCGTGTCAGAAACGTTGGTGTGTTGTAGGCGTGTAAGAAACATTGGTGTGTTGTAGGCGTGTCAGAAACGTTGGTGTGTTGTAGGCGTGTCAGAAACGTCGGTGTGTTGTAGGCGTGTCAGAAACGTTGGTGTGTTGTAGGCGTGTCAGAAACGTTGGTGTGTTGTAGGCGTGTCAGAAACGTTGGTGTGTTGTAGGTGTGTCAGAAACGTTGGTGTGTTGTAGGCGTGTCAGAAACGTCGGTGTGTTGTAGGCGTGTCAGAAACGTTGGTGTGTTGTAGGCGTGTCAGAAACGTTGGTGTGTTGTAGGCGTGTCAGAAACGTTGGTGTGTTGTAGGTGTGTCAGAAACGTTGGTGTGTTGTAGGCGTGTCAGAAACGTCGGTGTGTTGTAGGCGTGTCAGAAACGTTGGTGTGTTGTAGGTGTGTGAGTAGATGTACACTTGTGTGGGTAGATGTATATTTGTTTGGGTAAATGTATATTTGCGTGAATATATTCTATTTGAAGGACAAGTTCAAGTTTGCTTTTTTTTTGTTGTTGTTGTTGTTTTTTAGTATTAAAACACAGTATGATATTTAGTGTTAAGATTATCAAGACTTATTAGATTATACCTTTTGCAATTTTACACTAATTAATATAGACAGTGTTTTCTTCCAGACATTTTTCTCTGGGGCACTTGATATTTTCGGGAGGGGGGGAGGCTAAATTTTCTGGGGACACTAGTAAAAGTATATATTTTCTATATAAATTTCCATTTCGTTTGGGGGGGGGGTTAGACTTTTTTCGAAGTGATGCACTGAATATAGATAGAAACGGATCAGTTTTCATTTATTTTTAAAATGTAATTTGTACAGATAATACGTTGGTAATAATAGGCATTAATAACATCTGTTATATCTTTAGATAAATGTATTTATACATAAGTTCTATTATTACTGTTCTATTTAAAACAAGGAGTGCTCTCCGTATGTCGCATTTAGTAAACAGAAAACAGCTGGCGTGTCAGATTTAACTTCAGAGGCACGAGAGTGGGAAAACAAACCTCTTGCACCTCTCGAGTCGTCTTGACCTCTCGTCAAGTCTCGTTCAAACGTCTCCGCCTCTGCTGGCGTTGACCTAGTGTTATCTGCTGGCTACGACAGGGGCGTGTCTCCGACTGGTGTAAACACTCGCTCACAACACTGGCTACAAGTCCACATCATTGTCATTCAGGTTCTCCGCTTCTGATTTTTACACCAGAATAGCCTTCAAAGTTGTTCTGATTATGAATTTTTTAAAGATAACAGAGGCCTCAAACCTGCCGGTGGAGGTCGGCTGTTATAAAAACCTAGCTAGGGGCTGTTACTCTCACTGACTTGCGTCGTCTGGAGCCAGATCCAACATGAACAAACTTCTGTACTTACTTCCCTTCATTGTGGCTGGCATAGCCGAGCCCATACAGTACAAAGACTGTCCTAATGGTAAGCGACACTTTGTTACTTGATTTCAGCTCTAAGGACAAAATACATTAGGACAAAATATCTTAGGACAAAATACATTAGGACAAAATATCTTAGGACAAAATACATTAGGACAAAATACATCAGGACAAAATACATCAGGACTAAATACATCAGGACAAAATATCTTAGGACAAAATACCTCAGGACAAAATACATCAGGACAAAATACCTCAGGACAAAATACCTCAGGACAAAATTTCTTAGGACAAAATATCTCAGGACAAAATATCTTAGGACAAAATATCTTAGGACAAAATATCTTAGGACAAAATACATTAGGACAAAATACCTCAGGACAAAATACATTAGAGAAAATATCTTAGAACAAATTATCTTAGATCAAAAAATTTTAGGACAAAATTTTCTTAGGACAAAATACCTCAGGACAAAATATCTTAGGACAAAATACATTAGGACAAAATACATTAGGACAAAATACATTAGGACAAAATACATTAGGACAAAATATCTTAGGACAAAATATCTTAGGACAAAATATCTCAGGACAAAATATCTTAGGACAAAATTTCTCAGGACAAAATACACCAGGACAAAATATACCAGGACAAAATATCTTAGGTCAAAACTTCTCAGGACAAAAAACACCAGGACAAAATATTCAGGACAAAATATACCAGGACAAAATATCTTAGGACAAAATATCTGCCTGTCTGTCCACTCACGTCCAATGTCCATCTCTGCCTGTCTGTCCACTCACGTCCAATGTCCATCTCTGCCTGTCTGTCCACTCACGTCCAATGTCCACCCCTGCCTGTCCACTCACGTCTAATGTCCAGCTCTGCCTGTCTGTCCACTCACGTCCAATGTCCATCTCTGCCTGTCCACTCACGTCCAATGTCCACCCCTGCCTGTCCACTCACGTCCAATGTCCACCCCTGCCTGTCCACTCACGTCTAATGTCCATCTCTGCCTGTCTGTCCACTCACGTCTAATGTCCACCCCTGCCTGCCTGTACACTCACGTCTAATGTCCATCTCTGCCTGTCTGTCCACTCACGCCCAATGTCCATCTCTGCCTGTCTGTCCACTCACGTCCAATGTCCACCCCTGCCTGTCCACTCACGTCTAATGTCCAGCTCTGCCTGTCCACTCACGTCCAATGTCCACCCCTGCCTGTCCACTCACGTCTAATGTCCACCCCTGCCTGTCTGTCCACTCACGTCCAATGTCCACCCCTGCCTGTACACTCACGTCCAATGTCCATCTCTGCCTGTCCACTCACGTCCAATGTCCACCCCTGCCTGCCCACTCACGTCCAATGTCCACCCCTGCCTGTCCACTCACGTCTAATGTCCACCCCTGCCTGTCTGTCCACTCACGTCCAATGTCCACCCCTGCCTGTCTGTCCACTCACGTCCAATGTCCACCCCTGCCTGTCTGTCCACTCACGTCCAATGTCCACCCCTGCCTGTCCACTCACGTCTAATGTCCACCCCTGCCTATCTGTCCACTCACGTCCAATGTCCACCCCTGCCTGTCCACTCACGTCTAATGTCCATCTCTGCCTGTCCACTCACGTCTAATGTCCACCCCTGCCTGTCTGTCCACTCACGTCAAATGTCCACCCCTGCCTGTCCACTCACGTCTAATGTCCATCTCTGCCTGTCCACTCACGTCAAATGTCCATCTCTGCCTGTCCACTCACGTCCAATGTCCACCCCTGCCTGTCCACTCACGTCCAATGTCCACCCCTGCCTGTCCACTCACGTCCAATGTCCACCCCTGCCTGTCCACTCACGTCCAATGTCCACCCCTGCCTGTCCACTCACGTCAAATGTCCATCTCTGCCTGTCCACTCACGTCCAATGTCCACCCCTGCCTGTCCACTCACGTCCAATGTCCACCCCTGCCTGTCCACTCACGTCAAATGTCCATCTCTGCCTGTCCACTCACGTCCAATGTCCACCCCTGCCTGTCCACTCACGTCCAATGTCCACCCCTGTCTGTCCACTCACGATCAATGTCCATCTCTGCCTGCCTGTCCACTCACGTCCAATGTCCACCCCTGCCTGTCCACTCACGTCCAATGTCCACCCCCGTCTGCCTGTCCACTCACGTCCAATGTCCACCCCCGTCTGCCTCTCCACTCACGTCCAATGTCCACCCCCGTCTGCCTCTCCACTCACGTCCAATGTCCACCCCCGTCTGCCTCTCCACTCACGTCCAATGTCCATCTCTGCCTGTCCACTCACGTCCAATGTCCACCCCCGTCTGCCTGTCCACTCACGTCCAATGTCCACCCCCGTCTGCCTCTCCACTCACGTCCAATGTCCACCCCCGTCTGCCTCTCCACTCACGTCCAATGTCCATCTCTCCCAGGAAACTACTACCACGCATCAGCTGTGGAGCTGAGCCCATGCCAGACACAGCCATGCACGTTTAAACACGGGGACACCGTGACCGTGAAAATATCTTTTGATGCAGGTGAGTTTGGACTTACAAGCTTTTCTTTACATGCACTGCTGCGTCTAAATTTGTGTAGGTCGTGCTTGGTCCATCGAGGGGCGGAATGTCAACATTTTAGTTAACTTGATCGCGGTGTCCAACAAATTAGTTAACTTGATCTTCGTGTCCAACAAATTAGTTAACTTGATCTCCGTGTCCAACAAATTAGTTAAGATTAAGTTAATGATGAAAAGATTAGCCTTGATTTGATGGGAAAAGAACAGAATTTCAACAGCTTGATGAATCACTACAGATAACAGTCTTGAGATGAGTTTCTCAAACAAGTCTACTGTCATGTTTAGCACTTGAAATTAGTTCCTTTATCTGTTTTTTAAAATAAATATTGTTGAAGTCTGTTTATTTATTATAATTTCTAGACAAAAATAATAAATGCAACTCATAAATTGTGGTAGGTTGTAATTAGTTTACAAATAATTTACAACATTAAAATAATGCATGTTTTTAATATATCGTAAGTAAGCCTAGTTGTGTTTATAGGCAAGCCAGTCGTTGCCATGGAGACCAATGCGCGGCTGGGATTATTATTTTTATTGCGAAATATGTATACACAGGTCTATATAGAGATTTTCAATTAAATCAAAGTAATAGTTGGGTTGGTTTTTTAAAAGTGTGATCTGGTAGACAAATAGACTACAGATGAGGGGGGGGGGGGGGAGTTACAGTGCAAGTGTTAAAATACCAGGCTTCGTGTGGTTTAATGCTTGAACATGTCCACACACACACACACACACACACACACACACACACACACACACACACACACACACACATACACGTACACGTATTGGTAGATTTGTATTAGCCAATACCGATGTCATAACCCCCACCCAGGTTATTTAGCGCCCTAGGCAAAACCTATTAAAAGCGCCCCCCCCCCCCCGCAATTTTTTTCGTGCCTCATTTTTATCAGAGGCGTAGCGACCCATCCCGGCGCCCGGGGACAAACTTTCGATTTGCACCCCCTCTCAAACTTTCTATTTGCACCCCCCCCCCCCCTTTCAAACTTTCAATTTGTTTTTCCAACCCATTTTGGCGCCCCCCCCCTACGGACAGCCCCCTAGGCGACCATCTAGTTCGCCTTATAGGTAGCGCCGGCCCTGCCCCCACCCCCTTGGATGTCCAAAAGTAAAGCCGTCGAAGTCTCACTTGGGTAACTTTTGTTGCCGATTGTTGTTTGTGTTACTTTCAAACTCTTCACAGTTTACATAGTTCTAGTTTCTAAAGCATCATTTTACGTTCTCAAAATTAGCATGGATTATACATGACGCTTGTTGTGCCCCCCCCCCCACCCCATAAAACAGTCCCGCCTACGCCACTGAATGCAAGGACTAGAATGTAACTGTATGAATACATTGCACCAGCATCAGAGATTGACGATGTCCTTCATTTGAGACCGGATGTTTGAAATAAAGGCGTCTACTTCCGGTCGTTGATTGGTGACACTAAAAGACATGGGAAATCAATAACATGCGTTTATTTTGTGCTGGGAGTTTGAAGGCACACATTTGATTACACACAAATAAAACGGCTTGACAATTAAAAGATGGTTTTCTTTTACTATTGCACGGATATTTTCTTTCACCAAACAGTCTTTATAAATTGATCTTTTGGTGACATCACATCAAAGTACACTCCCCTCCCTACCTGTGTCAGATATTCCCCAAAACTACCCTCCCTCCCTCCCTACCTGTGTAAGATCTTCCCTCCCACCTACTGTCAGATCTACCCTTTACCCTGTCAGATCTACCCTCTACCCTGTCGGAACTAACCACTACCCTGTCAGAACTACCCACTAACTTCACACAGCTGAGAAACGTACCATTCATTTAAAACATCTAGCACAGAACCAGTGTTTCTTCCAGACTTTTATCTCCGGGGGGGGGGGGGGCGGGGGGGCACTTGAAATTTGGGGGAGGGGGGGGGGGCAGTAGACTGTAGACTTTGGGGGGGGGGGGGGCGGACACTGTTAAAAGTATATATTTTTTACATAAATTTCATTTCGTTCGGGGGGGGGGTGGAGGTAGACTTTCTTCGAACTGATGCCTGGAAGAAACTCTGCACAGAACTAGCACCAACGCCAAACCACCCCTTCTTTCCTCCCCCCCCCCCCCCCCCCCCCCCATGCCTCGAGCAATCACCCTAGTTACAGACTGATGTCGCCGCCCCTGACTTAAAGTAAAGTACACCTGATAGCCCGAACCGATAGAGATAAGAGCGCACTTGTCCTAACATACCTGCTGGAAGGTCAGTCACCGCCTAATCTTGTTACACATGGAACAACTTGCCTCGAAACTATCTCGTGGAGGTAGGTGGTGAGGTGGTGTAGTGGTCAGGTAGTGTGGTGGTAGATGGTGAGATGGTGAGGTGGTGAGGTGGAAGTTAGGTAGTGAGGTAGTGTAGTGGTGAGGTGGTGTAGTGGTGAGGTAGTGTAGTGGTGAGGTGATGTAGAGGTGAGGTGGTGTAGTGGTGAGGTGGTGTAGTGGTGAGGTGGTGTAGTGGTGAGGTAGTGTAGTGGTGAGGTGATGTAGAGGTGAGGTGGTGTAGAGGTGAGGTGGTGTAGAGGTGAGGTGGTGTAGTGGTGAGGTGGTGTAGTGGTGAGGTGGTGTAGTGGAGAGGTGGTGTAGTGGAGAGGTGGTGTAGTGGAGAGGTGGTGTAGTGGAGAGGTGTCGGTGGAAGTTAGATGGTGAGGTGGTGAGGTGAGCGTTAGGTTGTGAGATGGTTAGGTGGTGAGGTGGTAGTTAAGTGGTGAGGTGGTAGTTAAGTGGTGAGGTGGAAGTTAGATAGAAAGGTGGTGAGGTGAACGTTAGGTGGTGAGGTGGTGTAGAGGTGAGGTGGTGTATTGGTGAGGTGGTGAGATGAACGTTAGGTGGTAAGGTGGTGTAATGGTGAGGTGGTGTAGTGGTGAGGTGGTGTAGTGGTGAGGTGGTGTAATGGTGAGGTGGTGAGATGAACGTTAGGTGGTAAGGTGGTGTAATGGTGAGGTGGTGAGGTGGTGTAGTGGTGAGGTGGTGAGATGAACGTTAGGTGGTAAGGTGGTGTAATGGTAAGGTGGTGTAGTGGTGAGGTGGTGTAGTGGTGAGGTGGTGTAGTGGTAAGGTGGTGTAGTGGTGAGGTGGTGTAGTGGTGAGGTGGAAGTTAAGTAGTGAGTGATGTAGAAGTTTGAGAACGCGGACAAGTTTTAACATGTTGAAAAAAAATTATACTTGTAAAAGAGTACAAAACTGTATCATTTTAATGACGTTTTTAATTAATTTGAAATAGTAGACTTTTACATTAAAATTAGTAATGTTTGGTTTCGTTGTCATCCCTTTGGATTGGGTCTCCCCTCTCCCTCACCCACCCCACCCCAATCCCCCATTGTGACTTCAACTTTTAACTGTTTTTAAAATCTGATCCAGACATAAAATACTCTCAAGTAAGTAAAATATTTTTAGTGAACTTGTAGTACAAGCTTTTTTAAAAAAAATCTGTGATAGTTTTGTTCAGTGCACATTTCAGCAAGTTTCTATCGACGTATACACCTAACATCTTATCAGGATACCAACCCTTCAGAGAAAAGATTGGCATTAAATCCAACTCTAAATGACTGCAGTCTAACTAGCCTAGCCTACTTAAGAACCGATATTGACGCATGCGCAAACTGCGCTTTTGATTTTTAACAGCATCAATACTGTTAGCCTACGTGAGGGGGATGAAAAAGGTCGCGAATTTGTAAACTGACGTCATTTCCGGCGTAATTATCTCCCTGGATTCTGTACATTTGCAATAATTTGCGTCGTCTGCGTGAGCTTGGGAAAGCTCTAAGCTCTCGCCCAAGTGTTCACCGCTTGCAACCGTCTTTAAAAGCAGTTAATATACGACAATTACTATATATATATATATATATATATATATATATATATATATATATATATATATATATATATATATATATATATATATATATATATATATATATATATATATATATATATATATGTTTGTGTGTACTTTGCTCTTCAGCTGACGACACGGCCGCCCTACAGAGCAAAGTCTTTGGAATTGTGGAAGGTATTCCAGTACCGTTTCCCTTACCCAATCCTGACGGATGTAAAGACAGTGGAATAACTTGCCCGTTGGTCAAAGGACAGTCCTATGTGTACACGTCATCCTTTAAGGTGCTGGACACTTACCCAAAGGTAAACATGTTCCATCTCGTTTCTAATGTCGTCAAAAGCTGTACCAAATCTGTTTTTATGTTGTTTTATGTAACAAATCTGTTCAAATACTGTTCCAAGTTTTTAAAAACCATTATTTAAAAAGTTCAAAATATGCTCAATCTAAATTGCAAAAGTAGGAGTTGAACACAAAGCTTTAACTGTGAAACATCCTCTGCTTTCAGATCGATCTAGTTGTCATGTGGCAACTGAACAGTGCAAACGACGGGAACCAAGTCTGCTTTACCTTCCCAATGTCCATCGCAGATGGCGCTTCCGTCGTTGGTTAACTCGCACAGATGGCGCTGCTGTTGTTGGTTAACTAGCACAGATGGTGCTGCTGTTGTTGGTTAACTCGCACAGATGGCGCTGCTGTCGTTGGTTAACTCGCACAGATGGCGCTGCTGTTGTTGGTTAACTCGCACAGATGGCGCTGCTGTCGTTGGTTAACTCGCACAGATGGCGCTGCTGTCGTTGGTTAACTCGCACAGATGGCGCTGCTGTCGTTGGTTAACTCGCACAGATGGCGCTGCTGTCGTTGGTTAACTCGCACAGATGGCGCTGCTGTTGTTGGTTAACACATGATATATAACAATGTTGGCTGGATCTGTATAATAACTACATACCGGAGTTTTAATTTAAAATATATGTACATGAAATCTTCTATATAGCAAATCACTTTGTAATAAACTTTAATAATATATTCTGGAATGTGTTGTTTCACCCCATGCGGATCATCTCAACGACAGAATCGTTGAGCCTCTCTCCGACTGTGTCGCTGAGAATAAAACCCTTTGGTGGTTTCTCAGTCAACACTGTCGTTGAAAATAAAACAATAATTAAACATGCTCTCCACATTTAGGAAAGCATAAACTGTAGGTGTTTTGAAGCTAATATTCCAGCCATTTTGTTTTGACGAGAGCTAGTCCAGATCTAGACTAGATCTACTTGATCAACGATTTACACTGATGTAAAACCTACGTAAATCAAATCTACAAGATCAGGATTTACATTTAGATCTAGATCTAGAAATCTACATTATTGACTAGAGAGAAAAAGTTAAAAGTATGCCTAGTGCGTCGAAAGTAAATGATAGAATCTAGATCTAGAAAATCTAGTAATTTTTCAGTAGCACGGCACTAGCTACTAGCTAGATCTAGACTAGATCTAGTCTAGATTGACTAGATAGAAAGATAATTATTTCTGTGGCATAGCTGTTCTTTAGCATTTAGGATCTAGATCTACTCAATTTTAAATCTCTTCTATTTCAAATTGTTTGTAGATCTATAATAATCTATATCTACAAGATTAGGCTTAGGTCTAAAAATATACTAAAGTTAAAGCTACACAAGTACACATCATTCCTAAACTTAATGCCATTAATGGCTAAAATTCACTGAGCATTGTTGCACTTAAGACTTAAACGTAAGGCCTAAATAAATACTAAATAAAATTATTACGTTAGCTTAATTTTCGTGACAGCTTTTCTCTTCTTTTTTGCCATGCTTAATTTAAGTCACTTTCATGTGCTGGTAGCTTAAAATAAAACTTGTTTAGGAAGTTTATTTCTTTCTCCCTTTCATAATGCTGCAAATATGAGTAAGACGCTTATTATTATATTTAAATAGCTGCGATAAATAATCATTTGCATCTTTTTGGGGGTATTTCTTTTACATGAACTGTGAAATATGGTATCTCAAATTTTGCGCGTAACTCAAAGCGAAATATTACTCGCTCAACTGCTCGTATTTAAAAAATCTGGTATGTCGAGGCACTAGAATGTTGAGGTACCACAGGATCTACTATGTATTGAAAGAAACATAAATTAATTATAGAATAATAGGCAAATATAGTAATAAAGTAGGCCTTATAGCTTTAGATTTTATTCAGCCTACTAATAAATAATTAAATAGGCCTAAAGTAGTACTAGATATTAGTTAAATCACTAGTATTGTGTAGGGTTATTTTTATTAAAAAAACAGATCACATCTTATACATTAAGGCGGGCTCAATAAAATAAAAATAATTTATTTAGGACCTAGGCCTATCTTTTGGAGATCTAAAATTCTAAATGAAAAATAAATTATTAATTAGACCAACAATAGGCATAGTATGCTAAATCTATTTTAGTATTTAAATTTAAGGCTCGGCCATCTACTAAAAATTTTATAAATGTCATAAAATGGCCTACTTAATTATAATTACTAATTACTATTAGGCCTAAGTTTAAACTAGAGATAGCCTATTTTATTAGTAGAAAAAGTATTAGTCATAGTTAAGATGGTATAGCCTTATGTAAATTAATGTAATCAGTGTTACTGAGTGTTAGATATTATGATATCGATCAAGCAATTATTATATAATATCGGAAAGGGGCCTAGCACTCTCTTAGTCATTAGTCTATTAGGTCTTACAAGTAGTTTAGCCTATTTATATATTATAGGGCCTATAGGCTGTTATTTAAATTAGGCCAAAGGCTTATTAGGAAAAGGCTTAATAGGCTTTAGTTTTTAATTAGGCAACAAGGCAGAGGCTTATTGTTGCTTATAGATTTAATTTGAAATTATTATGATATACGCTACTCTGCGACTATCACTATAGACTGCTATAGAGTATATTATAGCCTAGGCCTATCTAAATAAAATAATTCAACTCACTTAGCTTACTATAATTTTTAAAAATGTTTAGTTAAGTATTCAGCTCTCTATGTCAGCTAAGGCCCATAATTGTAATTATCCTACTGTTAGATCTATTAATTATTTAATAATTAGTAGGCCTAATTATAGGAATTATGTGTGATACATTAAGTCTTATACATTGGTCGTAGAGTAATACTATTGGGCTAGTAATTATATACAATATCTATACAAGCCTACTTATTGTTAATTTGGAAGTCTTTGCATTGACCTTAGTTTTCAGATGTAGCAGCCTAATTTTTATCAGATTATACCATAAAATCAAAAGTAGACTTGTAGATCTTTTTAAAACAAGGCATGAAATATTAATTTAAATAATATAAATTAAACAAATAGCCTAAATAACAACTACACAAAGTTAAAGTCATAATAAATTTTTATAAAGGTATCTTGAATTTCAACTGGAGGTAGTTTTGATAAATATTAGTATTCTGAACATTAAAATAGGTAGACTTAACATACATTTGTTCTGAAAACATATTTAGAAATTGGTTTTAAAAAATGAGGTTAGGATTGGGGTGATAACTAGTTGAGGATTAGATATGATATTCATTGTGTTTATCCATGTTGTAATTTCTCTTTTACAGGTTCATCCAAAAAAAAGGGAAGATCTGATTTTTACCAGTAATAAGACTACAGCATACTAAATGACACAAGATGTTCTTTCTCTATTACCTCTTACATTTGACATAAAAGTAGGAAAAGGTATGACAATTATTAATAAGCTGCTTTAAATTTTATTATTTGTTTTTTTATAACTTAATTGTACCATTTTTATTTCCAATAATGATAAATATAATTTAGTGTCATTTATATTTTAAAATATTTATATTATACTAGATATAATTTACTTCTATAATATTACTATCCAGGTTTAACAGTCTATGCCTACAACATAGATCTCCAGGACTAAAAGTACACAAAATGGCAATCAGTATATCACAAGTGTAATAACACATGCATCTAATCTGCTTCAGTGGCGAGAACTGGGTGAATCCTCTCAAACATTAATCAGGTAAGTTATCACAAGTTTGCTTTGGTTTATTTTGAACATGTTGATTGAGATAGATTTTTATTTGTATAAATATTGTATTTAAAAAAATATTTTACCTAGTAAAACCAAGTCAGTGGTGATGATTGATACAATATCATTATGTATATTTTTAAATATTTGTTTTGCAAAATATGCTGATTTGCAGGAAGGATATATATATATATATATATATATATATATATATATATATATATATATATATATATATATATATATATATATATATATATATATATATATATAACAGTATCATTTAGTGGTTTGTCTTACAAATTTGAATTATTTACTTAATCTGTCTTAACTGCTCAACAGGAACTAGGCATACCTAATGAGCGTCAAGCTGATACAGTAGATGTACAGAAGAGTTTATACACAAGGTAAATATTGATAAATTTTAAGTTTTCTTTTTTTAAGGATACATGTAGTGTTTTGGGAGAAAGGAATTAAATTATTTAAATTAGGCCTAATAGTTTATTTCTCTAGCTTATGTTTCACTTAAAATAACTTAAATTTTTCCCCCTTTATCACTAAAGCAAAATTTTATAGATATCTATGCCATGATTCATCTCATTCAATCACTTTTTTCTTGTTTTGTTTTGATGTATTAAACTAATTTAAACTAAAGATTTTTTTTTTTTTTGCTAATTTTATTATTTCAGATGGATGATTAAGAAAATCATTTTGTTTTGTTTCAGGAAGTGAAAAGTGATGTAAAAGGCAACTAATACTTCCATCTACCATAGTTAAACAAGAATCTGCAAATGGTGATAATTGCAATAATCATGATATATTAATGTTTGGCTTTATAATTATATGCAATTGTCAGGTTTGATAAATAAATTATTTCTCAAAATTTGATGTTTTTGGTTTTCATACTTTGTACATAAGATGCAAGTGATTGAAAGCTGAAAAGGGTTGTATGTAGTTATAGTATTCCCAGCACAAGTTGACATTAAAACAGCTGAAGCCCTTTAAAAAAAAAAAAAATAATAATAATCTAGGAATGCTGTTTCTATTAGCTGAGCATATATTTGGAAAAGAACTTAATTGTTTACCAGAGAATACTGTGACCCAGTTTGTACTCCAGGCAAAAAGTGTCTATGGTTAATATTATTAGGTTAAAGAAAAGTATCAAACAAACAGGATAATATTAATAAGCAAGACCTCCACACTAGAGAAGTATGGAATGAGTGTTGCATGGAATTCAAATCAACTTTGATGTTGCTAATTGCTACACTGGCCATAATTGGCCTACATTGATTTTTGCTGAGGTAGGCAACTGTTTTTGTTTAACTTTAGATGTCGACTAAATAAAGAAGAAAACTGACACGCCAATACCAAAATCAAGAACTTGTAAAGTTCGTGGTTGCTAAACCGAGAAGTCCTGAGTTCAATCTCCCGTGTAGATGAGGCTCTATAGTTGGGGATAGCAACCTATCTTGGGGATACAACACTTGTTCTTGGATTGTCAAAAGATAAGAAAAGAAATCCAGAAAGAAAAGCAGCTGAACGAAGAAGAAAAAGGCTGGATATATTCGGTATCAACTGTACAATTTTAACAGACACACATTTCAAACTACACATGCATTTCAATGACAAAGTTCAGTGAAGCCATAATGTTGAGTTTGACTGAATGAAGAACGATATTGTTATTTCAAGCAAAGTTAAGGTTTATTGTCTTAAAGACATTGTCGTGGATTGATTTAGACTAAGACTTCCCTGTTAAATAAGCCGACAACGATGGCTCTTTTTATTTCTCGTCTTTGATGTTGCTTTCAAGAACTTGTATGAGATTAGATTACCTACATACATAAGGCTACACAGTTTGGAATCTTGGCTTTCTAATAGTGGACCTGGCTACATGACATTACCCCCCACCCCGTCAATTACCCCCCCCCCGGAGGAGACCCCCCCCCCTCCCGTATTTACCCCCCGGGGCAATTACCCCTTGTC